GACGATGATGAAAACCTGTGATTTGCAGAGCACAGAACATTTATGAGATCTTTATAAGAATGTGTGAAATGCCATTAGGAGAATCTTGAACATGATCTACTGAGAAAATATCCGCTGTGCAGTGGGGACATGATAGAAATATTATGCAATTACTAGGTCTCAAGATTATTATCTTGTGCCTAAAATAAAACATTTTAACTTGAACGACCTTTATCTGCTCCAGTGCTAATTATTACTTTATCTCAAAGTACATGCAAATTCGCTTGTTCTGTACAGGAGTACTGAAGGTTTTTTTCCAGGTCAGATTTTTTGTCTATCGTTCTACCATGTCCTGTGTGTTTGGAAGAAGCCGGTTTAAAAAAAAGCCTTTTGTATTGACAAAACAAGAATATTTGACTTTCCAGATAGTTTATCATTTATCACCCTGCCATGAGTGCTCCATAAATGTGTTGTGTGGTGTGGAAACTCTTGAGAGCTCCGAATATTAATGAGATACTTAACCAAATGCAAGGCATATTGTGGCATTGATGTTGTCTTTGCAACATGCAAATTGATTGAAATGCGTGCAGTTATGTTACGGGACGATGTTTACAGCTTATTTAATTAACTTTTCTGCTTCTCCCTTCCCCAATTGTGCCCGGCTGCAAACGTAATGCAGCAGAAGTTACAGCAAGGCAGGTTTCTGAGTTTCTCATTTGTGAGATTTTGGCAAAGGCCTAGCGAGCCGGAGCAAACACCCGCACACAATTGCAGTTGGATGCCGGCTGACATTAGCGCAGAAGGCCCTTGCTTCAGGCTTTTCAGGACTGTGACAATAGAGGTCTAATTCGTGGTATTTCCTCACAGGATTCCTCACAGAATAAGGAATCAGTTGTGTAAATGAGGAACTGTTCTGCTAACCATAAGTATGCCACGTGGGAAGTCAGCGTGACACAGTCTTACCATTTGGAAAGGAGATCCCACGGGGTGGCAAATTCCTGTTCGAAAAACTCTTGGAGAAATATACCGCAAATTAGACCCCAATTTTAAGCTTTTGTGTGCCTAAGTCGGATTGTGGAGTCCCATAGCGTAATGGTTAGTGAGCTCACCTCTCAAGCGAGAGTTCCCAGGTTTGATTTCCAGGTGGGGCGAAACCCTACGCAAGTTTCCTCACTTCCACACACTTCTGTTTACCTCGCAGTAAGTAGGAACTGGTTGTTAGTCGATTAGCGGATCACTCGATCCGTGACTGTTTGTGGCACATTGTTGTGTGCTGCGTTTGGCCCACAAAATACTCAGTCAATCCACTTTACAATATTCTGTGAAACGCTTTGAGACATCTCAATGATGTGATGAGGTGCTATATCAAATGCAAGGATTATTATTGGAAATAAACTCTCTGTGTCGTATTTTGCTGCTTTTCTGTTTACAACCATAAACGGGTCAAAATGCACAGTTCTTATTTTTTGTAGCTATTGAGAAAGGATAACCCATAAACTCGCACAGCAGACAAAGTGTAAACGCATACTGTAAGGTGTGCAGCTGGTCAGTGCAATTTCAAAGTATTGCACTGTGTCATCGCATTTTATTCTATTTTGGGGTATACTTGCGATCATCAAATTGTGTGTGCGGGAATAATATGTCCCACTTAGCATTCTATAGCAACAAAATGGGAGAAGCTGTGCCCGAGCCAGGATTTGGGCAGGGACAGTGTAAGAACTACGTGCTAAACATCTGGCACTTAGCTGCACCTGACACTGTTTATCTGTGTGACTACTGCATTGATAGGCCAATGATAGGCTCTTTCTGCCCTGCCCTGTCCAGCAATACTGAACAGCTAATCCCATCGAAGAGTGAGATACTCAGTGACATGTGGTGAAACAACATGGATGCATATTAATTCTGGGAGGAGGAGGAAAGGCTTCATAATCCACCAAATATTTTGACCCACGAGTTGTTTATTCAATGCAGATATATATTCTAGTATCGTAAGGAAGCTGCATTTATTTTGGTGATGACAGAGGACTTCATTGACTGATTTTAACATGAACATATTCAGTCAAAACTCCTTTGTGAGGAAAGTATGACAGTGAGTGTTACCGCTTTGCTGATGTTGGTCACTGATGGGATTTCCCATTATAATTGCACATCCCCAAAAGCACTGCGCGTAATGCTCACCCAGAACTTTTCCCCACTCGTTCCAGAGAAATCCACCAAAGGTGCTAACATGTATTGATTTGATACTGCGCCATGTGAACAGTTGAGGAGGTGGGATAATCCCATAAAACCACAGTGTGAAATACGTTGACATGCCAATAGCCCGAAGGTGGAGCCTTCAGTATGAGCAAGTTCTAAATCAAGGTCCCAGAGGTAATAGGGTATAAACAGATAAAAATGTGAGAGAAGGCAATTTGGCCCTTGGAAGCTCATCCCTCAAGTACATTAACTCTACCATTATAGCAATTGTGTTTTGAATAAGGTCAATATTTTTGCCTGCACGACCTTGTTTGGTGGATTTTTTTTCAAATAGTTAGAGGGTTTCAATGCTCAATTTGTCATTTGTTGCCCTCGTTAACGAGCTGCACAGCTGGAACTCAGAAAGATCTATCGAGATTAAAAATAAGTTGAAAATAATTTCGAAAAAGACTTTTCCTCACACTTCTCCATTTTTGCTTTATATAGTTGTCATTAAAAATGCACACAAGTTCAGATCTCTGTGGGGCAGGGTTAGCAATAAATGAAACTACTTAAACAAAAGGAGAAATACTGCAAATGCTGGAAATCTGAAATAAAGTCAGAAGTCGCTGGGAACACGAAACAGGTCAGGCAGCACCTATGGAGAGAGGAAAATGGGTTAACGTTTCAGGTCGATGACCTTTCGTCAGAAATGGGGAAGTTGAAAAGGAGCAGATTATAAGGACAACTGCTTCAAACCTTAAATACAGCTCCCATCTTCTCTCAGCCTTGCCACTCCCATCCCCCTCTTCTATAACCATTCTAGGATTTAGACACATTTTTCTTTCTATAATCTCGTGTATTGCCTTCTTTTGTCTTGCACCATCATCACCTCTGATCTCTTCATCTTCTGTCCCCTAAATTTTGCCTTTGTCTTTCTTTCCCCACCCCCTTCTCCGTTTGTCCTTATAATCTGCTCCCTTCCAACATCCACCAGTTCTGAAGAAAGGTTATCGACCTGAAACGTTAAGTCATTTTCCTCTCTCCATAGACAACGAAACTATTTAGGTGAGTATGTAAAATAATTTCAGAACAGAAAAGTAGACACCCTTTGATTATTCAAGTGTATGTTGCCTCCCGTGACAAATTAAATGGGCATTGAAATGTCAGGTACCTTGTCTCCTAGAGTCTGTTAATGACTGTTATTTTTATATTCTAAATACCAGAGGAACTGATTTAGTACAAGTGTGTTATGCCATGATTAAGAGCATGTCGCAGAATTCCCTGAATGCTTGTACAGTTTAATAGTGGGCACTAGATAATACATTAACAATTCTTTTGGTCTTTGATGTGTTAAGAGGTATTGCATTGAGCTCTGCTGCTAAAACAGCATTTCAGTCCACGCAGGATTACAATACTGTATGATGTTTGCATCAGTTCTAATGGTAACTGCTCGTGGATTAGTAAAATGGTGTCTGGCTAAGCAACAGAAATGACAGTAAACTGATATGCAACACGTGTTTCATAGATTTATTTTCCCCAAGTTGAGAAACCTTGCTGAAAGGCTACAGTGCAGGGCATCACCAAGGTTGAAAAGAGTAGGAGCAACACGGAGATAAATTGGATAAATCACACCGAAGTTGGATTTAGAAGTCTTTGAATTGTTGGGAGGAAGGGAAGACTGAGGGGCTTCACAGTCTTGAGATCTTGAGTTAAAAAAAATAATTTGGAAGATGGAGAAAATTTCAATTCAATTCTTGATTTCAACACATTGAAGAAGTAGGGAGGAGTGTGTAGTTCTGTGTAGTTGGAGATTTAGAGGAACATTCAAAAGAGCACAACTGCATCTTGCGTGGGTTTTAGTTCCACTTTCACATGATGTATAATTTAATCTGTGCAGGGGCAGGTGGGGGTGTGCGAATGGAATTCCACCTGGGTCTACACTTACATTATGCATGATTCAGTCTTCATTTTGAAGCCGATATTCTGTGGTTTTAAAAAGAACTTACTAAAAATCAGCTTCGAAATAAATAATTTGTCGAATTCTGCAGCCTGTGTAATAGTGTCAGTCTTGACTTGGGTGGAATTCCTCCTCTTCATGTACTTCATTTCTTAGCCATTTTCTTGAGCTATGAAGTTTCAGGCTAGTTAGAATAGTCAGCCTTCATTTTGTTAGCCCTACAGTTGAAAACCTTTCCCATTCTGAGACTCTGTATGAAAGGCAGAAGGTTTTGTTGAATGCTGAATAGGCCCACTTCCCTTAAATCTTTCCCAACACTGGCAAAGTTGTGCATGTACCATTCACCCTAAATGTTTCATCGTGTGAAAAAAGAGAACACTAGTCAGTGCCAATCAAAAAACCCAACAATTTCAAATTCATTGCGGTGTTATTTGGTGATAGGCCTCAGGCCTCAATTGTAGTGCGTACAATAGTTGAACAATGTCTTTCGTACACTCCCATTCCTGTGTATGCATAAGTGTTTTATGTTTGCTCCTTCCGTTGATGCCTGTTGATAAGTCCTGACCAAAGAATTGTGTAATGTGGCCCCACAAGAGCTCTTGAGTTTGAGCGAAAAGCCTGTATTCCTTCAAAAAAAATAATAAATTGATCACTTCAATCCACAACTATTTGTGGACACTCCTGCGCACAATTGGCTACTGTGTTTCGTCCACAAAATATACAGTCAATTCACTTTACAGTATATTCTGTGAAGCACTTTGAGACGTCTCGAATTCGTGATGAGGAGCCATATCGAATGCAAGGCTTATTATTATTATTTTTAGTGTGCGTGATTTCAGTCAGTCTGACTGACGACGCTTGTGTGTCTCTTTAATTTTTCTTTCAGAAGTTGGATTAAAGTTATGTGCTTGAGCCCCTGTGGATTCCTCTGAATTGTGGACACCTGAAACGCTGTTTGCTTGTTATTTTAAAAGGAACTCATTCAAGCAGCATCACTGATGTCTCTGATGGACAAGCACAAAGTGAAGCGGCAACGATTGGATCGAATTTGCGAAGGTAAGCCTACTTCACACTCGGGCAGCCCTGAGTAACCATACAAAAATCACTGTACAACCCATAGCTTTAGATCTGAGAGCAGCCTGGCAGTTGCAAATTCAGATCTGGATCTTAAAGAACGCAAGGCCAATTTGTTATCCTGTATAGTACCTCTGAACTACTTCTCTCTCTGTCTAACCCCCGACCCCCATGAAACAGCGTAGAACACAGCCACGTTTTATTGGAATGCCAATTTAAATGCTAGCAGTACAGTGGGCGGGGCTACATTTGCAATGCAGGTTTACAGTCCCCCATTTGTTTCACATTTGCGGCAGTACTAAACACAGCCCATGTATCTATGACTAGGTTGTGACAGCTAGTACAAGCTGGCAATGTTCTGCGCCAACACAGGAAAGAGACCTGCAACTTTTGAGGTGTGGTCTCCTTTGCCTGCTTAACCTGCTTCACATTGTGCTAGCGTTGTTGTGTAAATAAGTCTTGTTCAATAAGATAAAGAAATACTGCAGGCTACGCCTTCAGACTTATATAAACCACACTTCCTACTAACACAAAGGAGTCCACGAAATTTGCTGTGTCTTCATATCCTCGATCGACTTAAAAGAAAGAAGTACTCGAGATCCCATCTGTTAAGTCCATTTCTGCCGGTTGCAAGCGTGGGAATAGATGAATGGGACAGTGTTGGAATATGGATGGTAATATGCTTGTCAATCTTTAGGAGAATTATATTAAGTCTGCACTATCTAACGCTGCAGCATAAGCAACATTGGATCATAGGTGAACTCATGCTTTTTCTTAATCCAGGTAAATGTTTCATACTTGGAAATCCTGTTATAAACATTTGTGAGCAAACAGGGGATTTTAGACCCCAACACCCTCGTCCTTGGAACCACTGGTAAAAAAAAATTGGCTTTTTCTGAAGCGTTCTTTGTGTCTGCACCTGACCTTGTTTCGATTGCAACTAGGATAGGTGGAACTAAATGAGGATGAGTAGTTGCTCACAGACAGATATATATGCATGGAAATACTCGGACAAATTAGTTCTGCCTCTGAATGGACAACAATGCGACGTGACTGTCACTTATCAAATAGCTGGACTGATATTGGTAGTAAAGTCTATGTCTCTCCCCCACCCCATTTGCATTTTGTTTCTCTTCTCCCCCTCCCCTACCCCCCACTGGTATTTTCCTTGACTCTCAGTATCAAATACATTAACCCGTGTATTACTGTGGTTAGATTCTCTCATTTAATTAATGATTTGTTGTGGGCAGATTTTTCATGTGTTCAATTTGTGATGTTGTAATTAGTAAGTGTTGGCTATTAAAAGCAAAATTTCACTTCAGCCTGCATCATATAGCTTACTAACTACAACATTGTATGCAATGTACGTCTCCATTTAACGTAATTGTCCGTGATTTATGCAAAGACGTTTTGGATTTAACCTCTGTTTACATCCTTTCATGTTTGATTTAGCAGGACCTCTGGTCCTCAGGTTCAACTTGCAATCACTCGTCTTAAAGCAGCCTATGACGACGAGGTTTAGTGGTTCTTAATCTGTTTCCACGCAGCCCACTCATAGGGACAAAAAGAAGGGCTGAGCATGTTCCGTTGAAGCATTATGTATACACGTCACAGCAGTGTTTCATCTGTAATTTGGCAAAGGGCCTTCCCCATGATTGCTGTGGCAGAGAGAGAGAGAAACTGATTGCTGTGAGCCAAGCTTTGAAAGCAACACGTTGTTCCCACAGTGATGCTCACTGGGTCTTTGCTTTGGTATCAAAGACATTTAAAGCAGCTTAAGGGTCCCTTCTCAATGATTTATTATTGTATTAAAGTATGTTTCACCCACGCTCATGGGTTATCATTCTTTGTTGTTTTTTAAAGAGGCTTTGAAGCCAAGTTAAAAGGGAACACATAAGCAGACACCGGACTTCTTGAAAATGAGCCTTTCTTTCTATCTGATGTTCTGCATCAGATCTGATCGCTGCAAATGTGAGAATAACTGGAACGAAGGATCAGGAATGGCTGCAAAAGGTCCATTTGTGTGGATCTGATTATGAAGGGAGATTATTTCCAGATGTTTGATTGTTTTAATTTGCAGTTTCCTCTTAAAGGGAACCTGTTTTACTGAATTGCACATCGACCCGTTCAGCAGTTTACAAGCTGTGGGTATAAATAACTAGTACCTCCAGAACTCCATCTGCCAACATTGGGTTTGCAACAGTTAGTCTCTTTGTCTTGTGTGGCTAATTCCTCATTGGCTCTCTCTTCGGTAAATTAAATACACATGAAGTGAAGGTGGTGTAATGTGTTGTTCCCTTCCCCCTCCCACTGAGTATCCAAGCTCACCCAGTCCAAAGGGGCAAACGCCAAGCGAGTCCAGATGTTACAGCACATAAAGGGCAAGTTATTGGCTGGTCCCACTCCCCGTCATAGTGACTTAAGTACCGACCATTCCCTGGACATTGCGTTTTTGGACAAAAGAACAGGGTTTGAAAATCTAAAGGGGACTTTTATTGTTTTTTCCAATAAAAGAAAAACCTAAAGCCGAATGTTGTGGATGAATCCCAAACTGGTCAAAAGTTTGCGTGTGAAAGTCGAGTGTGAAGATCATGAAGGAAAAGCACGTTTTTTTCTTGATCCACGCGATCCAAATGCCTCCCTCCCTAGGCAACTGGTTCCACGTGTTAACCACTCTCCACATAGGTTAGGTTAGTCTAAGCATCGTGTTCATCTCCTCCCTCCTTTGTGGTGGACCTCTAGGGTATTTGAAAAGCGTGTTGGAAATCTGGCTTGTCCAAACTCGTTTAAAATGAGCATCATGTCTAAAAACATTGCTAGGTACATGGATCTGCCCAACTCTGAGGAGACATGCCAAGCTAAGCAGGTCCACAGTAATCAGAGGCATTATTGGTCATGACTTTCTAAGGTAAACTGATGATGAAATCATTGGTGATTTTTTAAACTGATTACTGTTGATCAGATATGCTGTCCTAATGACTCTTGTCTAAAGGATATTTGGCATGGACAGGATAGTCTAATGATTAGTTTTTAGAGTATGAAAGTGCTCTTATTTGGATTATTTTGTCTTGAAACCCACGTAGTTATATTAAAAACAGTATTTTCTACTTTATTTAAGATTTGTTAGATGTTTTCACCAACAAGTAACATATATACCCAATCTAAGTATATATCTGTGTGTGTGTATATATATATGTGTCTGTATATATACATATGCATATATACACATACTCATACAAAAATACACTCACAAACATACATATATACATACACACACGCATACACATAGTCAGTCACGCACATATGCTCACATACCACACACGCACGCATGCAGACACAAAATCGTGCTGCGAGTTTAGAATTTAGTTAAGAATAGAGGTGTGTTGGTTTCTTCCTGTGGTGAGTTTGCAGCAGACAAGACGAGGTGGCTCAAGGCGAGAAAATCACCAGCACAGACTTGACAAGCTCAACATCCTGTTCATGTGCACTAACTTTCTGTAATTTGTGACCACGATCTCTTAACATGATCTGTGTATGTATATAATGTACGTTTGTGGCTGGATATGTACTTGTGAGACTGTATTTTGTGTGAGTATATATGTACGTGTTTATGCACAGGTGATTATGTGTGTGTATATGTTATTTGTTGGTGAAAAACTAGCAAATCTTAACAGACACAAACAGAAAACTGTGTTGGAACATGAGCAAAAAGGATCACAATCTGGCCTTCCTTTCAGGTGCAGGTGGGGAAATTCCCGTTCTTAAGTGCACATCATCAAAGTCATTACAATTGACAGCATCCAAGTTAGAATCTCAGTTTCTATTGGCATCTAGACTTCTGCTGAAGGTGAATCTCATTATGTCCATCTTGAGCTGGGGCTGACAGAGGTCACTTCAGCTTTGACCTAAGACCTGATCCTAGGATTTATTGACGACAACAAATCACATTTGTACAGCGCCTTTCACATCAGGACGATGTCCCAAGGCATTGACCGTACCAAACTATACTGACCCGCAGATTGCACTGTCTTGATACATTGGTGGAGTAGTTGACAAAACCTGTCCAGTTTACCAGTTTAAGTTCTGTTTTTTAAGATGTGTAAAGTGCTGATCTTCCTGTGTGGCCCCTGAAGTGCCTGATTCTTGCAAACACGTGCAGCATGTAACAGTTATGAACATTTATGAGGGGTGGGCTGTTGTGGGTGAAACTCGATGAATTACTTAGTGAACCTAGTTATTAATAGAAATCTTCTATTAAAGTTGAAGTGGAATAAAGTTGTTGGTCCACCCAAGGTCCTTTGTGTTCTCTTATCGCAGTTATGATACAACAAAAAAACTTAAAATAGGATGTTTGATTTTTTGTTTTAAAAAAAAGTACATTCGTTTTGCTAAACTTGCCGGTGTCACTTGCATTATTATGAATTCTTCAGAAATCCCTCCATTAAGTTGATCATCCCCCGACCCAACCCCATCGACTGAGAACCATCTGCCCAGCTGCTCTGTGGAGAAAACTTATTATAATAACATAAGAAGAATTATTGCATTTGATACAGCGCCTTATCGTGTCGTTGAGACGTCTCAAAGCGCTTCACAGAATATACTGTAAAGTGAATTGACTATATGATTTGTAGGTGGATCGGGGTAGTCAATTGCACACAGCAGTGTCCCGCAAACAGTCTTGGATTGAGTGACCAAATTATTTGTGTGTTTATATTTTGGAGAGATTATTATCCCTGGAAAGCGATCCGTCAATCTACTAACAACTGGGTTCCTTGCTAGGGACTGGAAGGGCGCTAAGCAAGACGTGTGTTCCTTTTATAAAATATATCGCAGCCGCAGCATGTGCTAAAAGACCATGATTTCCAGATCGATAAACGACCGTCGTGTTCATTTACACATTTACTCACTTGAGCACGTGTGTGTGTTGTGTGTCATTGAAAGAAACGATCACAAACTGGAGAATCCAGACCTTAAATACCATTTTCTCCTACCGCCACCATCACCTCCACCACCTCCACCCCAACAATGCCCCTCCTCCCACCCACACTTGTAATGAAAAACGTATGTTTTCAAACTATGGGAGCCTTATGTTGTTGTTATGTTTTAAAGCGGGGGCTTGGTGGGGAAGCCAGCAGCAGCCTTCTGAGGAACGCAGCGGTGTGACAGGCAAAGCGACAGCAAGGAGAGGTAGGTACTCATACATCAGACTCAGGGAGGTTAGGAGACAAGTAGCCGAACACAATCCGAATAGGGAACCAGGAAGGGCTGACCTTAATAAGTAGTTGCGAGGAATGGGAAGCGGGGAGTGTGTGGGAAACATAGATTTTTACATTGTACACAAAAAAACTTTTTCTTTGAAGAGCATCCCTTCGACCTGGTTGTGGTATCCCAGGTAAATCTTGACACCAACCAGGTAGGCACAGGCTTGCTCTAAAAAAAATGGACCACAGAAGTTTCTTTTTTTTTAAAAAAACAAAAAAAATTGGAAACTGATCTTAAAAACTATCCGAAGCTTGTGGTATACAAACAAAAATGCTTACAACAAATTGGGATTTTTATTTCATTGGCCTTTTATTTGTAATCAGTGATGGAAATGCAGTCTCTAGAGACTTTAAGCAAAATGACTTGAGAAAAGACAGCCTGAGGTTTGCATCAGAGTTTGCTGTTCTGTTTTCGCAATGAATACCCGTGGTTGTGATGAAGTTGCCAAAAAAATGTACGTTTCTTGCTGTTTAGGATGAAAGCAGTTGCAGGCTCACAGGAGGGGTGTAACTGAGGAAATGGGCTGCAGGGCGTGCATTTGGCAAAGTAGATCTGGTTATTTTTGTGGCAGGTTTTCACTATAAAATCAGAACTTTTATCCTTGCAGATTACATTGTCAGTGGGTGTGTTGTAATGTAGGTTGAGTTGTGTTATGTGTGTGGGGAGGGGCCGAGAAAGAGAGAATTGAACCATCGGGGCCTTTAAATTGTGAATAATAGCTGATTGTTTTCAATTTATTTTCATATCTTACTGAGATATAGAGCTTTGTGATTGTACAGAATCATTGATAATATTCAGAGTACTGGATCTTTTATATAAGTTTATACAGTATCATGATATGAATGAGTTAAAGATATTCAAAATTATTTTGAATGCAGATCTTGTTCTACTTGTATATGAAATATTAAGTGATTTTTTTGAAATGTGTTGAAAATTTATTGTGAAATGTTAAATGTATTCTGTATTTGAAAGTCTGTTGAAATGCAACATTGCGGCTGAGTGTATAATATTAATGAATCCTTTGCATTGTTTTATATCCACTACTTCACGTTCCAATATAAAACCCATTGAGTTTGCTCCTCTAACTCACGCCGTGACATCAAAATGTGTTGTAGTAACTCAGCAAGCCTCTAAGAAACAAATCTCAGGGCAAACTGAACATTTCTCACCAGCGTGGGCCTAAAATACTCTGTATATTTAAAAATGTATCAGTTATGAAGTGACAAATCAAGCTAGTGTTGTAACAAGAAACTAGATGGATTGCGTAATTCACAGAGATATATGTTTGAGTTTGAATCACGGTCTTGGGATATAATGCATCCTATATATCACATATCCTAGTGTTTTGCAATATATTGTAAAAATATGCAAATAACTGTTGCTTTTTTGCATATCACAATGATATATTTATGGCTTGTAGCAATCTAATGAAAAGGTACTGCATGAATTCACAACGAAAATATCTGTATGAAAGACATGAAGTGACTATTGACCATATTGCCTGAGTACTTCCCAGTGGGTTTTTAAATGTTTTTATTATTGATGCATAAGATACAGAGCCAAACCAACAAATTGAAACGTGAAACAACATTAAAAACTGGAAGAAGCTTCAAATTACCATTACAAACAAATCTTGTTGGTACAAAGTGCAGAGACATAACAATCCATACAGATCAGTATCCAGAGTTCAGATCTGTTTCAAGTCCGATGATGTGAACTTCAGTTTCTCTGGTTCCTGTAGACCCCAGAGTATTCAGATGTCACCATCTGAAGCTGAATTCTAAGATGCTCTTAAGTGCAGCTCACATTTTTCTTTGCTAATGTCAAGTTGGAGCTGATAATAATAATAATCTTTACATTTGGTATAGCGCCTTCACATCAGGAGGACATTCCAAAGCACTTCACAGAATGTACTGTAAATTTGTGTGACTGTTTTTTGGGCAAACAGATGATGGGGAGGGGTAGGAGGTTGGGTAATACTTCGAATATTAATAATGATTGTGGAAGTGCTTCTTCAGACTCTTAAAGTGCTTTTTGTCAGGATAATGGACTTTTACTTGTGAAAATTTGAAGCATCAATTTAAGCTACATTCCCTAGGAGTTTGTCCAGCAGTTTACATATGGCTGCCTTGTTCATGGAGTTTGCAGTAGCACTGCTGAGCCAAGAGAGCAAAATAGTTCCTGGTGTTTCACATTGGCTGAGGTTATTTTATTTAAGGAGCAGCATTAGATGTTTCGCACTAACAGTCCTGATGCAGGAAGGCACAGTACTCAAATCAAATCATCACTTACCTGCACTACAGTACAGTTTCTCAAAGGCATGACATTTTTAGCTGACATATTTTCTGTCAAGTATTAATTCTCCATCACATCCAGTATTCCTGAGCCTTGCTCTTCAATCAGTTGTTTTTCATTATTGCAATGGCTCTGAATTATAGCCAGCGCTCCTTAAGAGGATTTCAGTATAAATTTAAATAATAATACTACTACTAATCCTTGCATTTAAATAATTATGGCATGTTGCCAAACAAAAGTACTTTTTTTGCTCTCGGCCACAAACTAGTTTAGAACATACTAGACAGTACTAGACAGAACATACTGTCAAAGCCTTTGCCAAAGTTAACTCTCGCTGAGATAGAATCCTAAGGTGCAGAGAGGAGAGAGGCTCGTTCCCTGCACTCACAAGTGATGGTTAAGCCAGAAGTGACACTGAGCAGCCAACTCAAAGCTGTATGGTGGGATGCTCGTCAGGCCTGCTGTACTGTAGAAAGTAAATCATTGAGCAACACCACTCGCAGAGCTTGTTCTGTTCAGCTTGTTTACTTGTACTTCAGTGGATGGTATTTATACTGATGTAGAATTCCAAGGTACTGCTAACATACAGTAATTATATATGTACTTGACTTTTTCACCGGGCATTTTGTATTCTTTAAATACTCTTGTGTGAGTTATAAATAGGGTTGGTGACTTTCTAGCCTGACCAGAATAGACTACTGAAGACCTATGTCTCTTAATCTGCATTCCATCAATAGGCATTTAATCATTAATAAGACCAAGGTTAAATATACCAGATGTTAAAAGCAGATTGCTGCTGTTATTTAATAACCCAGGTTGGTAAGAAATTATGTGATAGGAAATGCATTTCAATGCTGCAACATTGCTAATGGAATCTGTGCCTTGGGGATGATAAGGTAAAGAATGGGGTGTGTGATGTGATCATACACTACATTACAGTGCATATTTTACATCACATTGAAGCTAGATTTTGTCCTTGCCGAAAGTCAATGACTGCAAATCTGTTTGTAGGAGTTACTGGATGGAGAGCAAGAGTCTTGGCTGCATGTTCCTATTCTAGCCTAGAGCACTGAGGCCAATTGTAGCACTCCAGCTGAGATCAGCTAACACAGCAAGTCCTGAGAATGAATCTGTTTACCAAGTGAGAGGTTGATGGAATCAGGGGTGAATGCTCATAGAATTCCACAGTATGTAACAAGGGGTGATCCCTTTAAGAAGAGACAGGTGTACGAGGGGGTTCAAGAGGGAATTGGTTGACAATTTGGCGAATAATGCAATTAGGCAGCATGACAGACAGAGTAATACGATTATTATTATTTAGTTGTAAGTTTGGGACTGAACAGCAATGGTCTTTTCCAGTCCGGCACATTCCCAAGATAAACTGACTGTCTCTCAATATCACCTTTCACATGTACCTGGGTATGTGCTGAATGCATGCTGGCATCTCGTTTCGCTCAGGAAATGTTCTTTCTGTGCTACATTCGGTTGATTGCACCTTGCCAACAACATTCCCACTAATACAGCTTCATGCTGCTCCCTCACACTTCCCTGTTTGACCGGCAGCTCTGGGAACAATTGCTGATGATTTCATTTCCACAAAACATTCTTGAGTAGATCTGGAAAAAGTAGGTGCTACATATCAGCCATGTCAAAGGCCATTGAGCATCTCCATCCCTAATAAGGTTTGTTGCTTGTGCTTAATTAGTGGGAAAATATAAATAGCGAATGCAGACGTGTGTGACTTGCTTGCAACTTGTGTTTGGGGGCGGGTGTGAAAAAGGCACCAGAGATGCGCTTGCACTTGGTTTATACACAAGCTCGGTACATTAGATGATAGCTTGGCTCTGAAGCTTGTGGGTTTAAGCTGTACACTTGCACTTGAGTTCGTAGTCTAGGCTAACACTCTAGTTTTACATTGTTGGAGATGTTAAACATTAAAATTTGCTGTTAAACATTCTGTCCATTCTGGTGGGAAGAGAGGTTAACATCTCATTTGAAAGGCTCCCAGAGCCTGTGCCACTATTTGAAAGGAGAAGAGTTTCTCCCGCTCAACAATCTTCCAGATTAACCGGTCACTGACTTCATGGTTGTTTGTGGGATTTTGCTAGTGTAAATAGTTTGCACATTTGCTGGGCTTGTGATCACATAGTTCCTCTTTCCTCTTCCTGCCTCGTTTTAGTCCGTAAAATTATGCAGAATTGTGTGAATTTCTAAATTCAGTCTGAATTTGGAAGTTGTTTTTCCCACCGAGTTTTAGATAGAAACTGGTTTTGAGTTAAGACCGAGTTTAAGAGTTTTCGTCAATTTAAATTCCGTGTCATTTTAAATTTTAAGACAAGATGATCTTGCAGGCTGAGACTACGTGGAATTTTGGGGGCTCTGAAGTCTCTATTTAGTGGAAAACACGTAGGGCTGAGTTCAATAACGCCACAGATTAATGTTAACTGGATACCTGGCTTTTTCGGTGTGAGCAAAGTGTGTGACGTTGGATTGTAAAGAACGTGTGATGTGTGAAATGGGGCAGTTGGGTTTTGAGGCTGATGTTTTATGCATTGGTGGTGTCTCTCGCTACGTGACAAATAAAGAAACAGAACTTACAGTCTGGTGGAGCCCTGCCAAGCCTCGCCCTG